TTAAAGTACATAGAGGTTGCAAAGAAAATCAGATGAAGAGCCAAGCAGGTAATTTAATGAATAGAGAAGGTAGGTTTAAGACAGCAAGAAATAGTGTGAATTCTGAGGTTTACATGACTCTATAAAGGACTCAGATTGAAAAGTGTTAAAATCACGGTGCCATCATGTTCCTAAATAAAAAAGGACTTACCCTGATCTTCCAGTTATCTACCTTGTATGTAAACAAAATGCCAGTGTAATGGAATAAGTGCTCCAGTGCTTTGATGTATGAAACTAACATACTTAGGGATCAGATGAATTACTGAGTTGAATTCATTAAGCCCCATAGTTTGTGCATTAAGTGAAAGTGCATTTAATGCGTTAAAAGTGGAGAGGAACGGTGAAGCTTGCTTAGCAGATAGAGCTAAATAAAGATTCTTATAAGTTTTTCTAAAGCACATTTATCTCAAATATTTACAGAAAATAGCTCTGTAAATTTACTGTACCTGAGGACCCTAAATCTTAATCTTAAAAGCATATTTTCATGAACATACTCTACAGTCTGTTCCTGTATGCAGAGGCTTTCCTTTAAATTTTTCTTTGTAATTTAGGAAGTGGAAAAGGAAAGGGAAGAGCAGTGTTCTGTTCGTGTGGGGAGTAAGATTTCATTTCCTTCTGTTCCTCATTCTCAGATGGGCATGATGAGCAACCCGAATCCGTACGGCTCGCCGTACACTCAGAATTCTGGACAGCAGATGGGCGCCAGTGGTCTCGGTCTCCAGATGCAGACGAAGTCTGTGCTGCCCAATAGCTTATCTCCATTCGCAATGGACAAAAAGGCAGTTCCTGGTGGAGGAATGCCCAACATGGTGGGTAGTAATCTATTTACAAATTCATCTTCAAACTGGTATTTTTACAAAAGAATTATGTTAAACTTTCATCCCTTCTATGCACACTACAGTGTAACAGATGGCCCTATGATTGAGGAGGCTTGTACCCTTCTTCCAGTTCACATGGTATTTTGTCACTTGTGGTATTGATCAAGAAGGACACTGGTCAAAATAGGAGCAAGTGGAATTGCTTCAATGAAAGTTCTGGAGGTCTGCTATAGTATGCAGCTTCTGCTTGTGAGCATGTCTGTAGGATAGGAAAGTGGAACCATTCTCCTTAGAAAGGATCTTTGGCAAAGGATTCCAACTCCTCATGAACATATCTGCTGATTTGAATCTGGTAATACTACACAAAAGGAACTTCCCTCTCAAAGTTACACATTGTTTTAAACATTGATTTTTGTTATAGGAAAAGTCTCCAACGCTTCTAACATTGCTATTTTTCTAAAGTAAAACTATTTCTAGTTGCAGATGTGTTGAGTTGTCCACATTCACTTTTGGGAAAAATTGTCCTGTAGGAATTTTATTTCTCATTCAGATTGTTTTAGTTTTTTGCTTTGTGTCATACATTCATCGAATGCCTATATTTGATACTCCAGGAAGGTTGGCATTGAAGATAAAAGGATGAATAAAACATGGCATCTCTGTCCTCAGAAATGTTTTCTTTTTTTATTGGACAGATTTCTTCCAGAGTTTTTAAAAGTGAATTTTTCACCCACCTGAAAGATCCTGCTTCCCAAGAAGCCCCTTGGTTCTTCAAAACCTTAACTTGGACACACTCTTCACTACAGAGTTCTTGCTTTCCCCTGCTCCCTGGAATTTACCGTGTGCTCCTCTTTCCTTCACCCTGTATATTATACATCCTTTGATCATATCATTTGGCAATATAGTACTTTGTTTTCTTACTAAGTTGAACTTCTCAATGGTAGGACCATCATTTATTTATTTATGGAAATCTCCTGTGTCAAAAAATGGAGTCTAGCTTATAGTAGACTGCCCTTAAAAGATTTTAATTGAAATGCCCAGGTTCATATTTATTAAATAGGTAGCACATTGTGACACCTAACATTAAGTGTATCTTTGTTTTCTCGCTTAGGGCCAACAGCAAGCCCCTCAGGTCCAGCAGCCAGGCCTTGTGACACCGGTAGCCCAAGGGATGGGTTCTGGGGCCCACACAGCTGACCCAGAGAAGCGCAAACTCATCCAGCAGCAGCTTGTTCTCCTTCTGCACGCTCACAAGTGCCAGCGCCGGGAGCAGGCTAACGGGGAGGTGAGGCAGTGCAACCTTCCCCACTGCCGCACAATGAAGAACGTCCTAAACCACATGACACACTGCCAGTCAGGCAAGTCTTGCCAAGGTGAGTAAGCTCGAAGGGTTTGTGTGTGCAGAAGTCAGTGTTTACATGAGAGAAGAAAATGGGATCAACTCCACTCCTGAGGCTCCTTTTCCTGATGATGTCTTCCTCTGTAGTAGAGCATTCTAAACTGTGGTATCATTCTGTGAGTGTCTAGAGATGTGGTAGGAGAAGACAGTTTTAAAGGACTTCCTTTTCATGATGACCCCTATTGACTGATTTGCCCCAGCATAGCATACTTTAAATATTATTGAGGGTTTGCTAACTATCATGTATCCCAATACTAAAACAGTGTTACCGGATGTAATAGATTGTGTATATGTGGAATCCCTAGAAATCGGTTTTTATAAAGTAGATTGCACAGCTTGGTGTGGTGAAAAGTATGGGCCCTGGCTGGGTGATGATACCTGTGCACCGAAAGGTTGTGGGTTCGAATCCTGGTCAGGCCACATACCTAAGTTGCAGGTTCCATCCCCTGTTGGGGCTGTATCAATGCCCTTCCCACCCCCAAAAAAATCAATTTTTTAAAATATGCAAAAAACATATCCTCAAGTGAGGATAAAAAAATAGTTATGTATTTTTTAAATACGGGTTCTGGAGCCACCCTGCTTGAGATTGACTTCCACTTTAGGTACTCTATGACTTTGTGCAAATGACCCACTTTTGCCTGTTTCTTCAACTATAAAATGTGAGTACTAATAGCTATCCTGTAGGGCTGTTATGAAGATAAAATGAGTTAATAACATCTGTGGCACTTGTTGAGTGACCAATTAAGTTAGCTGATAATAATGTAAAAATATAACCTGCATTTGAAAAAAAAGTTATTTTTCTTCTTTTTAGTGGCACACTGTGCGTCTTCTCGACAAATCATTTCACACTGGAAGAACTGTACAAGGCATGATTGTCCTGTGTGTCTCCCCCTTAAAAATGCTGGGGATAAGAGAAATCAGCAGTGTAAGTGATTAAATATTTTGAAGCTTTTATACCAAAAGTATTCCTAAACTCTCCCCAGTGTAGTTTGATGGGATTTAGAATATTTGATTATGTGAAGTTCCTGTGACTGCCTAGTTTTCACTTTTCATTAACTTCATATTAATGAGGTTAGAATTGAACTGCTCATTACCTAAAATAAGATCCAGAAACTTAGGCATTCCTCATAAAAATGAGGTGAATTTATGCTCATTTTTAAATTCATGAAATTTTTAAATTTATGAAAACTTAAAAGATTATTGCTTTAACACTGGGCAAGTTACTACTCTTTACCTGTAAGCTAAATATTTAGATACTTTGAAATTATTTAAAGAGAAAAAGATGGAAATTATTTTTAGAAACCTGAGATGATGAGAAGCTTTTCTGAGAGAAAAGGCAAGTCAAGAGGAGAAAGATTTAAGTACAGCTACCACATCTCCCCTCTAGAAACAAAACAGTTAAGCATTTAGGATTGAAAGACAAAGTTGGAAATACATATGCAGCATGTGGAAAAGGAATTAAACTTCATAAATTAATGGAGAAATCCTAAAAAGCCCAGTAGAAAATTGAGACTAGGAAACAGACAATTCCCTGGAGGGAGGAAATACCAAAAAATTCGCTGTTAAAGTAAGAAATGAAGTACCATCTCTCCCAACACAGTGCAGAAATACTGCTACCTAGTGTTGGTGTTTGTATGGCCCTGAGGCATTCATACGCTGTTGCTGGGAACATTGATACAGCTTGCAGAAAGGCTTCTGGGTATTTTGGATCAAAAGTCTTTTCAAGCCAATGATCTCCTTTGACCAGTCAGTTCTGCATATCAAAATTTTTTTCAAGGAAATAATTGAGAAAAAAGATGCATGTATTGAGATGTTTGACAAAACAATAATTTTGTGGTTTTTGAAATGCATTCAAACATGTTAGTCGTTTTTTAAAAAAATAAAACTATCTTTAAAGTTGTAATTCCATTTCTTTTGTCTTCTGTAGCAATTCTAACTGGAGCGCCAGTTGGACTTGGAAATACTAGCTCTCTAGGGGTCGGTCAACAGTCTACACCCAGCCTAAGCACTGTTAGTCAGATTGACCCCAGCTCTATAGAAAGAGCCTATGCAGCTCTTGGACTACCCTATCAAGTAAATCAGATGCCCACACAGCCCCAGGTACAAGGAAAGAACCAGCAGAATCAGCAGTCTGGGCAGTCTCCCCAAGGCATGCGGCCCATGAGCAACATGAGTAAGTTTGTGCCCTCCTAGTGAAAATGTGATATTGTGTCTGTAAATGCCATGTTATATGTAGGATTAACTCCTTAGGTTATTTGCCCTATGTGTGTGTACCCGTCTCCCTCACCCTCCTTAATTATTTTGTTAATGATTCATTTTTGAAACTTTTTTAAAGATTATAGTCCCCTTTTAATCCACATACCAGAGGCAACTGCTACTAGTTTATATCCTTCTAAATCATTTTATGCATATGTAACTTTAATTTCTAGAAATGGGATCTCTTGTGTTATTCTATAGCAGACTATTTCTTTAAGACAATGTGGCCATTTTTTAACTTCCTGTACATAATATATCCTTTTTAGTGGTTGTAGAGTGCTTCATTGTATAAAACAATTTCTAAACAGATGGACATTTAGGTTTCCAGGTTTTTGTTTATCTTCCATTATTTTATTTATTTGTTTGTTTGTTTTTAGAACATCTTAAATTTTTAATCCTTCTTTACAGGTTACCTAAGACCACTTTTGATTAAGAAAACTGTAGAAAGTTAGTAACTGCCACAAGCAAACACCAGGTGGTGGGCCTGTGTCAATTTTCCACAGCGTCCTGCTTTGCGGGGCGTCTGAATGCACTGCTCGGGGTCTCTGCTCACACTTTTTGGAATCAATCGTGGCAGATTTTAGTCCACAGGTCGCTTTTCCCCATATTTCTTTGTAAACTCTTCAGCATTCTTACAGAATTTTTTACAGTCCTTAGAGTATTCTTCAGTTAGGTCAGCCCAAAGGGGGTGCTCAGGCTGGGGGTCATTCACCAGTGCTATGAGAGACTGGATTACTTGGTCAGTTTTCGTTGCTGGCTTCCAGTTTTCAGCACTAATGACTGGCAGACAAACCTGTCCCTTTTCGTCGATGTTGGGGTGATAGATCTTTGTTTTAAATGTGATCTCCGGTGGTTTGAATGGGTATTCTGCTGGAAAGTTGATTTCGATTCTGAAGGCCCCCTTATCATACGGAGGGTTGTCCTGCAGGGAAAGAGATCAAAATGAACACACCATGGTAAACAACTCTGCAGCTGAGCCAGGAATGTTACGTTTACTTGAAAATTAATTCATTTCAAGTGGTAAAGCAACTAAAGCTTTGCCACCTTAGGGCTACCACCAATCAATCAGTGTTTCTAGAGCAAGATGTCTGCTAAGCTGTGAAAAGGTCTGAGATTGATGGTCTGGATTATTTTCTTTAAATAGACTTTATGTTTAAGAGTCATTTTAGTTTCACAGCCAAATTGCCCTGGCTTGCACAAGCACAGCTTCCCCCACTATCAACATCTTGCAATAGCATGGCATATTTGTTACCACTGATCAACCCACAATGACACATCATTATCACCTAGGCTCCACATATTTTATTTTATTTATTTTTAATTTTTTTTAGAGAGAGAAGGGGGGGAGAGAGAGAGAAAAAGAGGGACATCGATCAGTTGTCTCCCTCCTGCACACATCCTGACTGGGCCGGGAATCAAACCCATGACCCTTTGGTGTACTGGACACTCCAACCAACTGAGCCACATGGCCAGGGCAGAGACTCCATATTTTATATTAGGGTTAGCTCTTGGTGTTGTACATATGGGTTTTGTACAATCATACACTATAGTTGGAATCATACAGCATGCAGCTTTTTCAGAATGGCTTCTTTCACTTAGTAATTTGCATTTAAAGTTCCTCTGTGTCTTTTCTTGGCTTGATAGCTCATTTCCCTTTAATACTAACTAATACTCCATTGTCTGTATATACCACAGTGTAATTACCCATTCATCTACTGAAACACATCTTGGTTGCATCCAAGTTTTGGCCATTACAAAAAAAGCTCCTATAAATATCTGCACGCAGGTTTTTATGTGGAAATAAGCTTTCAACTCCTTTGGATAAATCCAAGAAGCGTGACTGCTGTATTGTAGTGTAAGAGTATGTTTAGTTTGTAAGAAATTGCCAAACCGTCTTCCAAATAGCTATACCACATTGCATTCCCACCAGCAATGAGAGCTGCTCACTAACACATCTTCCCAGCAATGGTGCTGTCAGTGTTTTAGGTTTTCGCCCTTCTTATAGGTGTATAGTGTTATCTCGTTTAAATTTACAATTCCCTAATGACACGATGTTCAATTTCTTTCAAATGCTTACCTGCCATCTGTATATCTTCTTTGGTGTCTGTTCACAACTTTTTTGCCCATTTAAAAATTAGGGTCTTTCTTATTTTTGACTTTTAAAAGTTTTTTTGTATATTTTGGATAATGGTCCTATATCAAATATGTCCTTTGCAAATCTCAATACTTTTAAGATATAAAGAATCACATCAGAAGTAAATAACAACCCACAGCTAAACACACAACTCTCTTGCAGCCTCAGAAGAAATGAGGATAGTCCTCCCACTCCCTGACTTGGACTGCTGCCACAAGGCGCATCCCCACCCCACGGTGTGTGCACAGCTGACTGACACCACATGCAGAAGTCATGGCTGACGACGCATACAAGTGGCTCCTGATTTGAATCTACTGAACACGCTGTCCCTTCTTCATTC